ACTACTTCTATGTGAGTTTGTCTCACTCCTGTTTTTTGGGTAATGATGGCTCGGGATAAACTCTGCAGGTTCTTGACTGCTTCTGCTTTCTCATGAGCTCCTGGGCTGTCATGAGACAAAGGAATGTGTATTTTCCATAAATTCTTGAGAGGGTTATGTAATATGCATAAGTGCATCATTTTGTAATGTATTTACTTGCTTTCTTCTATCCTAAAATCCAGATATTCAAGCAGTTCAAGGTTAAAGTTAATCAGTGAGGAATAAGGGCACATAATGTTAAAAATACAAATGGTTTAGATAATGAATGACATTTCCTTAAAATTATTTTTGTAATGGTGAAAGATTCAACCTCAACCCATGTTTTACATATTGTACAGTACACTACAGTGTGGAAAATTGTGCATTTTCATTTTAATTGAAAACATTTTAAAGGTAGCCTAAATTAAATTATTCTAATATGTTTGAGTCCCATTGTGACACCTATTGTAGCTCTTTTTACTATTTCCTTTTAGATTGCATAAAATTTGAATTTCCTGAGATTAGATCAGATTATCTCTGTATCACTTGCAGATGCCACTATAGTACAGTCACATTAGTAAGCAAAGCAAAGAAAGCTGAAAAACTGCACTTAACTAGTCAAAACATCACATTTAACTTTAATCACTGTATTTATCCAAGGTGCTCTGCACGAAGAATAGGAGAGTTACTAATTTATTTTATTCTATTAGAAGTTACATGGTTTATATCATATATGTATGGCTTACAAACCTTTTTGAGGTGTTATATAACATGTTTAACCTGCTTAGACTAAGTCTAAGACTAGGTCATCAGGCTACACTGGATTATCCAGGATTTGTTATGGATTTCAGGAAAGAAGCCATTTATAAGACCATGAGTTTCTCTGTTAATGATAAAACTTGCAGCCACTTTGCTTCATGTAAAATTTCATTGCCAAATATGTAGCCAAATGTAACAGATTCTAAGAATACAATAAGAAATGTCATCAAAACAATTTACATAGTCTTGCACATACTGTACCTGTAAAGGTTGGTTGTCCTGTTGCTGTACTTGAAGATTTAGTAAAATGTTGGAGAACTCTGGAACAAAGGTGTATAATTATTCAGACATGTTTGAAACTCTCAGCTTTTATATAAATTGTGTGAATTGTGTGAACAATCATTTCCCTTTATTTTCAATCTACACATCCTTCGCATTATTTGCAGACACTAAAGTGTTTTCTGAATATATAAACATGGTAACAAACAAGGTATGGTACTGTATATAAGAATATTACATTTATTATATATTATATATTATATATTAAATGTTTATTTTAATATTAACATTTCTACCTCGTTTTGGCATGTGTTATAAAAAATAGCTAAAAATAGACTAATTGCTCTTGCACATTGGGTAATAATTGATAGATCTACCTATTTATTGTTGAATTGTGACTATTTTTTAGATGTCAGTTTCTTCACTATTCTATCATGATTATTATACTAAGATAAGTTGAATTCAAGAGTCCAGAGGAACGTTTTCTTCTCAGCAAACACAGTAACAATTGACTACCTTAAAATGTGAGACGTGAATTGCAAGTCACAACAACTATCATGAAAGCCTTTTCCTAACCAGAAGCCAAATATGGAATCCCTCCATTCATCCAAATACTGTAGGTACTTAATCATATGCTGTAAGTGGTGCCTTTTGGTTTGTGATGCAAATACATAAAATTGTCATATTGGTAGTTTTGAAAAGGAATTCCATATACCTCTGAGACAATCCCATAAAAGAAACATTACTGATGATCAACATTTAGTGAACCGTACATTTCCAAATTGGTTTTAAGTAAAGATATGTTGAATAAATCAGCAGACCTTATTCAAATGATGATCATATGTGACCTATTGGTCCTATACATGTTATGAATACCCCTATTGAACGGAGAAACCTAAAGCATGTATATTTACTGTATGTATAATATTTCCTATTACCATGCATTGACAAGGAACTTCCCCTTTAACCACTTTAGTGTGTCTAGCATAAATTACATTAGAAAGAGAAAGTTTCACATGGCCACATACTGTACAAGTAAATATTTTTCAGCCAACAGTGTTTAGAATAGAGCCTGTTGCATGATACCAGAGCTAAAGGAAGACAAATATCAGTGTGTTGTTTTTTTAATTTTTTGAAAGCTTATTGAGGACATTTGAACCTTGCAGAATTCAGAATATATCAGACAATTAAATCAAAACATTCTATTGACATACATAAATGACTCTCTCCCTGCGCTCAATGGCAAAATAAACATTTCTCGACATACATTCTATTCTTTGCAATCGGCTTTTGCAAGGTACCTCATAGCTACAGTACATCAGAAATGGCATTTATACATTAATACAGAGCTTGACAAGAGCAGTTTGTTGGCCTGATGTCTGGCAACAGAAAGGTCGATAAGGCTTTACAATAAAAAAATAAAACTTTTTTTTTCAACTCCTGTTATGCAATGGGGAAGCCTGAAGGATACTAGTTTAATAATCCTGCTTTTCTTTTATTCTTCCTATTGTATTCCCACATTCTTAGCTAAGCGCTTGCTACTGTTACAACGTGAAGCACTTGTTGGGTCCACATTCCCAGAGGGACCAGTCAGACAGACTTACTCAAGCTTCACTTGAACACAGAAATGAAAATCAATAAACAATCTGAACTTCTCAGAAGAGAATTTTTCTCCTCTAATGAATATACAAGCTTGGTTACAACTTGATTTAAAGGTTGAATTTATTGGGTGTGTTTTTCTTTCCGGTGACGCCAAAGAGTAGATCTAGAATAGTGCTTATACTGTAGCAAGATACAAGAAAGTACATAAAGGGTAGGAATAAACACATGTATATGGACATAGAAATTAAAATATGTTTAAATATTGTCCGAGATATAACAGTGACTACTTGTAAAAGCATAAGTTGAAAATGATGTTCTTTTGGACATGTAAAGGGTTAAAAAACAATGCAGTTGCTGTATATCTGCACATACAGTATTATACAGTATGTCCCTATCATACAACAAAAACAACATTTGTACAAAGTGGGAAAAAACATCAATCTCAAAAATTCTTCGATAGGATATTTGGAATGGAATGGATAGCTGTAACAAAAGATTCTAAATCAAGGAATTTCTTAAATTGTAAACTGGAAAACAGATATACAGTATAAAAGATTTAAAATTGGACGTATGAAGCATCAGATAAAAGCAAAATTCCTACCATCCATTTTCTAACTGCTTTATCCAATACAGGGCCTTTAGGGGAGCCAGGCAAGGAATGGGCATAAGATATGATACACACCCAGTCCATAATAATAATGAGCTTTAACATGACTGTTTTCATTAAAAACATTGCTCTGGTCTTTTCACCTTTGTGAAAAGGTGTTACAAAGACTCCAAATAAATACAATTCTTGAGAATGATACCCCTGAAATATTTTAAATTGACAGAAGTATTACCACTAAATAAATATAAAGTAAATTGGCAGGGAATATTCATATAACATAGTTATGTAAACTACAAAATAATGGACATGTCCTTGGAATGAAAAAAAAAAACAGAACACCAGTGCTTGTTCCTGGTCATTATGCTGTAAAAGCATAAGCATTTTTTCTGAAAATGCATACATTTTTTATATTGTCTATTATATGGAGTTTCATAGTTATCTAATTTACTATATCCTGTTTACCATGAAGCATAGTACAGAATAACTGTTCAAATATTTCTGCAGCTGTTTGTAATGCCTTACAATGTGTCTGGCATTGCCTTGTAAAACAATGCCCTGCCCCTTCCAATTATCTTGCCATTCCAACAGCCCATTTTGTTGATCTACAGATTACATTTTAAAGTGAATATTTCTGGTCAAAATGTAAATGCTGAAAGTGAACTCTTTTATGGGTGAAGGAAGTTGGATGTCAGCGAACACTGCAAAGGAAACTTACCCAAATTATTTCAAATCCCAATTAGTAGAGTGGTTTGTGTCTCTACTCTATGAGTTTACATGATTACAGAATGAGCACACCAGTCTCCGTGAAGTCCCTGGGTGGTGGTTTTCAAGATTCAAACATGAAAACAAAGGAGCATTTAAAACACCTTAATTATAAAAGTGTAGAAAGGCACAAATCAGAAGAATACAAAGAATGTAAAAATCTTCCAAAGACATTGAATATTTCTTTGAGCATGGTGAAGCTGATCATTCAGAAATGGAAGGTGTATTATACACCTACAGTAGAAGCTACCACATTGGGAAGCTTGGCTGCAACCTGCTTCAGTTCGCTAAATACCTAGAGCTCAGATGAAAATTCAGCAGGACAATAATCCAAAGCACAAAGCCAGACCTACTCTAGAGTGAATGTCATTGATTGCATGTACACTACACACATATTATTGTTTTTGAATTCATCAATTTTTGACATTTCACTTATTTTTATCACAAAAACTGTGCAGTGTGAGCAGGTAAGTTTTGATTTTAAATATTTGCTTGCAATGTGCTTACATTGTTTGTAGTTCATCAAGGTGTGACGTCATTAGAAGGGTATGAGTGCTTTTGCAAGACCTGTGGTATTAAGAAATGTGTAAGTTAAAACTATATATTTGTTCCATTGGCTAAAAATCACATTGTCTGCTACTATACAGTGTTTAAGCAGTTATATTTGAAATGCAATTTTTAGCTGAAATACTAAGTAAACCATTTCAAAATACCTCATGCCCACATACTTTACAAATCATGCAGATAAATGCAGGACTATACATTTATTAACCCAGCCATGCAGGGTTACTCCTGCATGCCGGTCCCAAGCCCGGACAAATGGGGAGGGTTGGGGAAAGACCTGGCGACCTACCCGAGAAAACCATCGCCATGAAAATTCATGGAAAAATACATGGAAAATCTCTCACATGTTTCAAATATGGTCCCCAGGCCAGCAGGTATCCAAAAAACGACTGGAGAAGAGCAATGATCATTTGCGAATTATCCGGGATTTTATGACGCAAATGGGGGAAATCCTTCGGGAAGCCCAGATGCTGATGCTGCCTGCGATGAAAGAAAGAATCTGCGCTGCACGAAAACACACAAGATCTCAACATGGAACGTCCGTGGAATGAGTCAAGGGAAACTGAACATCATCAAGCGAGAAATGATCAGACTCAACATAAATTTGCTTGGAATTAGTGAATTACACTGGAAAGATAATGGCCACTTCAAATTGGATGATGTTTCAGTGTATTATTCTGGGCATCAAGAACTTAGAAGAAACGGAGTGGCTCTCATAGCACACAAGAACATAGCCCATGCAGTCAAGAGCTACACCACCATCAGCGACTGCATAATGGCCATCCGAATCTGTGGAAACCCGCTAAATGTCATGGTTTTACAAGTCTATGTTCCAACAACAGATGCTCCAGAAGATGAAAGCGAACGATTTTATGCCAAAATCGAGGAAGCACTGGAACAAGTGCCCAAAAAGGATATCATTTATATCATGGGCGATTTCAACGCGAAGGTCGGCAGTCAGGAAGAGGCGAACATCATAGGCCGGTGTGGATTGGGCGAAAGGAAGGAAGCTGGTGATGGTTTGGTCCAATTCTGTCATGAAAACCATCTCAGGGTCTCAAATACATGGTTCATGCAACCGAAATGCCGTCTGTACACCTGGACAGCCCCCAATGGACAGCGTTGCAATCAGATAGATTACATTCTTTGCAGTCAATGCTGGAAAAGTTCAGTCCTAGCCATAAAACTTTCCCTGGTGCTGACTGTGGTTCTGACCATGAACTGCTTGTTGCCACCATCAAGGTGAAATTCTGCAACATCAAAAAGAATGCTCCATCAAAGCGTTTTGATGTCTCCAAGGTACCTGTTTCATATGCAGTCACAGTGAGGAACAGATTCGAACTGCTTGGCAATGAAGACAAACAGCTGGACGAATTGTGGCAGGAATTCCAATCCACAATTATCAAAACAACTCAGGAACACATACCATACAAGAAACTAGAGAAAAGGAGCAAGTAGCTTTCAGCAGAAACCATCAAAATCGCCGATCAAAGAAGAACAGCCGAAGCCACTGGGGACCAAGATGAGGCTTGGAGGCTAAATACAGAATTTCAAAGGGCAGCAAGGAAGGACAAAGAAGCATACTGGGAACAGCGATGCAAGCAAATGGAGGAGGAATGTCGAAAAGGTCACACCAGAAATCTCTTTGCGCAGGTCAAGAAAATTCGAACTTCTTTCACTACCCACAAAGGAGCAATCAAAAACAAGAAGGGGAAGGTCCTGACTGGCCAGCAATGCATCAGAAGCAGATGGCAGAATACACGGAAGAGTTGTATGCAAGCACTAGCGACCTTGAGCCACCCCACGATGACCCAGTGGAAATGGAGCCAGCTTTCCTGGATGAGGAAGTCGTATGGGCGCTGAAGAAGTTACCAAACAACAAGGCACCTGGTATTGACTGCATCCCAGCAGAAATGTTGAGGCCTGTTCCACCAGTGGCTATCAAAGCGATCTGCCAGAAGATCTGGGAAACCAACAGCCGGCCAAAGGATTGGAAGAGATCAGTATTCATCTCACTGCCTAAGAAAGATGACGCAAGGGACTGTTGCAGCTACCGTACAATAACCCTGATTCCTCATGCAAGCAAAGTCCTTCTGAAGATCATACAGCAGGGTCTGTGCCCAATCATTGAAGCAGAACTACCTGACTCGCAAGCAGTGTTCAAAAGAGGTTGTGGTACCAGTGACCATATCACAAATCTGCGGTGGATTATGGAGAAATGTCATGAACATCAGAAAAACATCTAAATTTGCTTCATCAACTACAGTAAGACATTCGACTGAATCGAACACGATAAGCTATGGAAGGCCCTGCAAGAACTGGGAGTGCCAGCACACTTGATCCAGCTGATAAGATAATTTTATAAAGACCAAGAAGCAACTGTTCGAACACAACATGGAGACACCGAATGGTTCAAAATCGAGAAAGGTGTGCAACAAGGCTATATTCTGTCCCCTTTTCTTTTCAATCTTTACTCAGAAATGATCATGAGGAAATTAGATCTAGAAGAATCGGAAATCGGTGTGAAGATTGGAGGCAGAAATATTAATAATCTCTGCTATGCTGATGATACAACATTACTGGCGGAAACGGAAGATGGCCTGGAATACCTCATATTAAGAATCAAAAAGGAAAGTGAAAAGATGGGTCTCCACCTCAACATCAAAAATACGAAGATCATGACAACAGCTGGAAAGGGAGCAGTCAAAATAACCATCAATAGTGAAGAAATCAAATGTGTCAAGGGTTTCTGCTTCCTGGGATCCATCTTTGACCAAACTGGAGACTGCGGCCCTGAAATCAGGCGACGAATTGAGTTAGGCCGTAGTGCGATTATGAGCATGCACCAAATCTGGAAGAGCAAAGACATCAGCTTCACAACCAAATGCAAAATGGTCCATGCTATTGTGTTCCCCACATCAATGTATGGGTGTGAAAGCTGGACCCTGAAAAAAGCTGACCGAAAGAGAATGGATCCTTTCGAGCTATGGTGCTGGAGAAGACTGTTAAGGATACCATGGACAGCAAGGGTCTCCAATAAAGAGGTTCTGGAGCACATCAAGCCAGAAATTTCGCTTGCGGGAAAGGTCACCAGACTCCAGTTCACTTATTTTGGTCAAGTGATGCGATCAGATTCATTGGAGAAAGCAATGATGCTTGGAATGGTCAGTGGAACAAGAAAACTGTAACGAACAGTTCTTTCCGGACCCTAAGCGGACGACACAGTCCGACGGAGTGGGGGAAACACTAGGGAAACGTCATGCAGGAAAACGGGGCTGAAGACAGGGGGGCGTGTCCAAGGTGCGCTGGTGCACGGGGAGGTGTGGCCGAGGCGAACAATCCGAGAGTAGTCCTTAGGGAAAATCCAAAACGCAAGGGTATGTCCAAAACCAGGAGATCCATCAGAGCAAGAATTAAAAAACCACGAAGGCCGGGTCGGAACCGGCGGACGGGGAACAGGAACGGGAACCGAGATTAAAACCTTAACGGGACCAGGCACTTCCAGGTCCCGGACTCGCACGATATGGAAATCAGATGCAGAGCCCGGATGAGCATCAGCGCCTGGCTTTTAAGGTGGGCTAGGTAAAAGGGATCAGGTGCACAGAATGAAGTCTTTAGTGAAAGGGCTGGAGCACCCTTAAGGAGGGGGGACTATAATCGTGACAAAAACAAGGCTGCCAAAGAACGCGGTGGCTCAACACCATCAAAAACGGACACTGGCTAAGGCACAGAACAGCTGAAAGGGAAAGTCCAAGACCGGAAAGCGTGGCAAGAGATGGCCTATAGAATCGCAGAGAGTCTGATCCGACTGACCGGATAACATCATCATCATGCATTTATTGTTTGTCTACATACATTTATAAAACTATGTTTTATGTCACACATCTCCTAAACAATTATATTTAGCCTTTACATATTTCTACAAATAAGAGTTATGAAAATAGAGAACACCAGACATAGAAAGAGTAGATTCATCAATAAGTAAAGTAAATAATCATAACTCACAAGAATATACAGAGCAGATTATATAATTTAGACAAGGTTAAAAAATTATTAACTAGAATCTGGTCTTCACAGATGATCTAGACAAAGACCTCCATGTTTTTTTAATGTTGTTCTCTCTCTCTTCTCTCCTTACTTCTTGTCTGCCTACTTGTTTCATCCTCTGTTCCTCAACTGTTGATGACTCTTAATCATTTATCCAGAACTTAATTAACCACATTAAACCAGACAATTCTTTTGATCAGTGTCTTAGACCCTCTTCCACTGAACAAATACCTCATTTCTTTTTTTTTGCTCTGAATCTCCTGAAAACTAGAAATGTTGACACTAGCTACTGTAGGTGATTGACTATTATTGAATTAAGATTCTTGAAACACCGCAAAAGGCACTTCCAACAACCAGAAAAAATTCAACAGTAAACTAAATCTAACAAAAAAACAAGTTCACAGTATGGAGTTCAAGTACTGTAGTAATACTTTATTTACATATAAACTAGTAAAAGCTCTGGATTATAGTGGGGTTTTTTTAATACAGCATTCTTATTGGGATGGGATACTACATAAAAGAAAATATTTTAATAAAGTTTCTGCTCCACTTGTAGTTCACAGGAAATTTCTAATTCTTTTTTTGACACTGAAATAATCAATGTTTTTTTTTTCTATGCACTGTAATGGACAGTATTAAATTACCCATTTGAGAATAAAATGCATTGGTATTTTAAATATGATGTCAAATATGGAGTTTTACTGTGTACTACTGACTAACAGGTGAGCTATACAATGAAATATCTATGGAATATATGTTTTCTTTTATTTACAGACTGAACCAATTTCATTTAGCATTCTGTATTTCAAAGAGACAACCCACTACTCACAAAAGGTATTGTGAATGAATGTAAAAATACAGTGAAACAACAGAAGTAGTAGCAGAGAGAAAAGCAAAGTAAAAGAAATCCTCAGTGCTGTGTGAAATAAAAGAGAAATGGGAGGAAAGGAACTGGAATTAATGTGGAGGGTTGTGGAGAGAATGGTAACAGGTGAGGTCTGGCAGTCTCATTCAAATGATTCCACTGACACCACTGCTGGAGTTAGTGTATGAATGGCTGCAAGAGTCAGTTCCTATTTGCCTGTAAACAGCTGTGATGAGGGAAGTCCACAGATTTTGAGCTTCCTCCCAGTGTAATCTGTCTAAACCTCTTAACTTTACTTTTAGGGCCGTCTGTCTTTGGGAATTCTTTTATCTCAAGATTGGGGGATCAACTAAAAAAGTAGCTTTGCTGAAGGGAGAGCATGAAGAGCATTAGGCAATGGAACTGAAAGATGAGTAATGACAGACCTTTGTGTTGCCTGTAAATATATTAATGCCAGACATGCTTTTTAGTGATTTTGCAGGGGTTCCAGGCTAGTTCTCAAAGTGGGCTAGAGTGATGTAATTCAGTATGAAAAGTGTATTATTTATTAATCTAAAATTCTAATGAAAACACCTTAGTCAATTTTTTAACTCAGTGGAAAAAAATATAAGCTAACACTGCAAAGAGGTGTTCTGTGGTTAGTTTTGTTTAAAATTGGAATATTTAGAAATGAAGATTCATTTAGATCTTTAGGACTGAAATGTTACTTTGAACACGGGTATTTTCCTGTTTTAAGATGTTAAGCAATTTCTTTTTGTTTCAAGAAACTAAGAAACTCCAGGTTTAAGATAAAGTTCATAAGATGTACCAACTACAGTATATTAAAGTCTGATTTTTCAATTGTTTGTGTTTTTTTAGTTTGTACAAAACTAGTTCATTCACAATATTGAGCAATCTAAAATAAGGATCCTCAAAAATGCATACAATAATTTGTTGTGAGCCATTGTGAAAAACAAAGAAAAAACTAATATGACAAACACATCATCAAAATATCAGGTATAATTTTTGACCATACAGTATAATGCATTGCCCTAGGAACTCTGAACCCTAACCCTAACCCTAACCTAACCCGATGCTTAGCTAGGGTTTGGGTGAGGATTTCCATAAAATGTAGATAATTTGTGATGGTACTGAATGGCTGTGTTTTAGGACAGAAAAGAAATTTAGGAAAACTGATATTTCTATGTCATCTCCACCTTTTTGTTCCACCTTTCCTATATGGCTGTATAATGTATATTTAATATTGTCAGTTAAATTTAAATATGGATTTAAATTCAACATACTGTAACTCATTTTCCATTTTAAAAATAAAAAAAGTTTATTTATATTAATATGAAAGTGTGATAAAAAAAACTCCTTAAAAACTAAGTAAAGAACTGCTTACAGTATTATTAGCATCCATCTTCTTGGGCAACACTAACAGGAAGAACCATCTGAACAAGACAAAACGTGTCATGAAGAATAATGTGTGAGAGTGAACTACACTGAAGTTTCTATAGAATTGTAATTTGGTGATGGAATCTGATGAATTGCCTGGCATTAAGGCCCAAATTATTAAGAAAAAAACAGTTGCTGTAGAAACATCCATTGACGTTAGTGTTGTAATGGTTCACAGATCAAACATTGTATTCTAGGTACTAAGAGAAAATATATTAACTAGATCTCTTGCAAATTAATTTACCATTGCAAGTTCTTAGTGATTATACTGTAGCATTCCATTTGTGTGTGAAATAAAGCTTCTTATCTAAAGCCAACCACACTGCTCTATCCTATATACAGATCAATGCAGAAACAACTGTTTTGGACCACAACCTAATAAAAAGAACTATTATTCTGATTTATCAGGCTTTTTCAGAGAATGGAAATTCCATTCCTCTTTTTGAAGACAATAAAAAATGCAGCTGTTTTTAAGAACAAAAAAGTCATGGATAGTTGACTAAGATTAATTAACCTTCAATTACTGTATATAGTAACATCGCATTCATAGACTAGATCTGTTTTCTCCTTTCATAGTTTTTCATGTGCTCAGCAAATGCCAGTATTTTCTGAAGCACATGTTTACAGTCTTTCATGTCCAGTACTTTTGTCTAACCTGCTTTTGGGGGGAAATAGGAATCTGTGTGTTCATTCCATGTGAAGCATCCAAGCATCCAAGCACAATATAGGGAGATGTTAGCATCAGCATCATCTGCTGAACAGAGCCAGAGGAAAGAATAGGCAGGGTGGATGATTGTTTAATACTGACTAACAAAATACAGATCAGTAATGTTAACCAGGCATTGGCATGGCCTCTCTGTGTAATGGGCAATAGGAAAACTTTCAGATGATTCAGTA